AAAAAAAAAAAAAAAAGGAGCGAGAAAGGGATTAATGAAAGCTAATTATATATATACACACATGCATCATATCCCAAACCCACTCCAAGTGCTGGATTTCAAAGTTAGGGGTTCCCAAGCTGTTTCTCTTTGATGCATCTAGAAAATACATTTGATTTCTGAGTGAAAGAGCAGGATGACACCAAGGGGAGGCAGCCCCAGCGATCCAGGGGGCTTTAACACCTCTCTTGCCCCCTGCCCAACTCCAGACACCTCCCCAGGACCCGGGTCCCTGCGGTGCACATACACCCCCCAGCACACAGACCCCCCTTTTAGGGGACTTTGGGCATCTCAGCAGGGCCCATCCCATCAGCTCCTGGCTGCCAACTCAGCTCCCAGCCTTGTTATCAGGCAGGAATTCAGCCCCAGCTTGCCAACCCTCGCTTTGACATTAAAAGTTACCTACGCGAGGACTCGGGATCGTTTTGGTTTTTTTTTTTCCCCCCACTTGTCGGTGAGTTGCAATTTTTTAAGGAGAAAAGTCCCCGGAACAGATGCAAGGTGCCTAATTGGGTGCTAATTGCTCCCATCACCGCGTGCCTAGGAGAAGTCCAAGCGCGGCGCTGGTTCTAACTCACCGCCCATCAAAGCGAACAGCATCAGCCTCGTGAATATTTCATGCAGAAAATGTCCAAGAAGCGGAGATTACTCCAGACGTGTTTTTCACAGGCAATTTACAGGGACCAAGGAAAGACTTTAATAGACACGAGCGTCGGAACGTGCCTCTCCCCGCTCCCGCAGAGCAGTGGATGCTCAAGAAGCTGCGACAACATGGAAAAACTCAGCAAGACACGAAAACCCCGCGGGCTCGCTGGGCATCCTCCTCCCCACGCTCGCTCTGCCTGCTCCATCCTGCTGGAGATAAAGGTTTCCCAGGCCAGGAGATGCTGAGATAAAAAAAAAAAAATAGCCTCAAACACCAAGAACAGTGGTCAGGTCATTCAAAAAGAGCCCTGGGGATGAGAAGCAGCTAAAGAAACGAGGGAAGCTGGAGTAAAACTCTACTTTTCTGGATGACCCTCTACCAAAGCAAGTAAATAGTTCAGAGAGGGGGAAAAAAAAATATAAAAAAATCAATGGAAATATTTGTTTTATCCAGAAGAAGTTATCTGCCACCTCTGGAGTCTGAAGTGGCCTGTTCTGGTAGGAGCTAGGAGGGTTTTGTTCCTGCTTTTTGGGAAAATCACAGCTCTGCCGTAGCAGTAGCATCTCTGGGTATGATGGGCAGCGGTCCCTCACCCCAAAGCTGCCCCGCGCCCACGGACAGGAAAGAGGCAAAAGGAGAAGGAACCAGAGCGAAGCAGAGGAGAAATCCCCAAATCCGAGTAGGCAGAGCCAAGCCAGCAAGAGGGGGAAAAAAAAAAAAAAGAGGACAAAAAGCAACCGAGACGTGAGGTTTTGCTCAAATTTAGTTTTTCCATTAGCTGTCATACTTCTTTCCACTAAGCTCTGCAGAAAATAAGCCAAATCCCAAAGTCCTTCCTGGAGCTAATTTTTTTTTTTTTTTTTTTTTTTTAAATCCTCTTGCCTACGCTCAAACCCTATCATTACCCGGTACGAGAAGGGAAGAATTAAACACACGCATCATTTGATTTTAATTGAAGGACTGTTCTATTTCATTGAACTGCTAACTAAGCCGAACAGGAGATTGTGTTTACATAAGCAAACCCTGAGTCAGTATAGACTTGCTGTCACATTAAGTCAATACTTATGAAGAGTCTCTATTTAATTATTCAGTGGGAATTGACTTATTCCTGTGTTAAGAGCGCCGTTAGCCCTGAGCAAGGTGGCCGTGGAGCTGAGACATCCCTTCCAGCCCCCTCGGCATGTGGGTGCCCATGGGGTCCCGGGGCAGAGGTACCCAGGGGGTGCTGCCCCACTGGCCCCCTCTTTCTATCCCTGACCCCATACCACGAAGCCAAAGCCACCAACTTAAAATTTCCTAATTTAAGGTCGGATCTGGAGGCTTTTCCCTGCCCATGACAGGGAGGTTGGATTAGATGATCTCTAAGGTCCTTTCCATTCTATGATTCTATGATTACAGCCCCAGTTGCCCAGCCCTGGTGCAGCCACCCACCCTGGGGACGCATCAGCCGTGCCCTGTCCCCCTCCAGATACCAGCATTGCTTCTCTCCATCATCTCCCAGATCCACCCTTAAAATCCAGGAGCGTTTTTCCCTCCTCCTCCTCCTCCTTCCCAGACAGCTACGGGGACAGCTGAGCCACACTTCTGAGCTGCTCTCATTACACGGCGTAATGAGAAAGTTGAGCTGCCGCTCCGCTGTTTATCAAGGAAACATCCATTATAGATGGCATTTTGTCCGTGCTAAACAAAGGGCGCGAAGACGAGGAGGTGGGTTAGGGGAAAAAGAAAAAAAAAAAGGTGTTTTGTTCTCATGTTTGGTGTTTAATCAATACCAATCCTTCCCAGCCAAGTCTCCCTTGTGGGTCTTCGGGCGATGAAGCCAGGCTTCCCCTCCCCAGGGCATCGCTCCTGAATGGGCATCCCAACCCCAGCCAAAAGGATGCAGAAATGCACCTTGCCAATGCCCACGGACACGGGGGGAGCCAGGCAGGATCCGGCCCCCTTCCAGCCACAGATACCCTGAAAACGAGGAAGAAAACCCTGGCAAACGAAACACCACCCTGCTTTGGGATGCTGAGGAGCTCCAGCCAGTGGAGGCTGGGAAATTGTTCAGCACCAGCATCACTGAAGCATATAAGACCAGATTATTTGTGTTCCTGACTTGCTGATGCAAGATGAAAAATACAGCAAACTGCAGCTGCTGAAATCAGCTCTTTTCTCCCCTTTCCTTCCCTTACCCCTTAGCTGAGGTTGGTGTTTTGCAAAAGGTTTTTATATTCTGGGAGCTAAAACCTGTCTGTTGCAATCAGACACAAAGCTCGGGGAGTTTGTCAGGCTCCTCTGTTGTGCCGGGAAAAGCTTCCTGGCAGGAAAAGCTTCACAAATTGCAGCGATCTGAGCCTTGATTGCTCCTGCTCTCGCGGCCGGGAGCTGGGCGAAGGGGCGCGGGCATCTCACCGGCGCCTTTGAGCAGCATCACACATCGAGGCCGTTTGATTTGGCTTCATCTGAAGTAAAGCCCAGAATTTCAGCCCAGAATAACCCGGATCCTGCAGCCCACTCCCGGCCCTTGCCAGGGCCTGAGCCCACGCAGGGATGCACAGAGCTCGGGGGTCGCATCCTGACCCCTTGGTGTCCTCAGCCCCTCTGTGCAGTGCAGAATGGAGGGGCTGCTCAGCATCCTCTCCCCCCCCCAGCCACAGGGACCTCGGTGCGATCCAGACTCCCACTCCACACTGGGACACTGCCCATTGGTTTAAATACTCCAGTCCAAAAAAAATCAGAAAACATCACCTTCCATTGGCATGACGGAGGAGCTGGGGGCTTTTATCCCCCCAGCTCCATGACCACTGATGGGACAGGGGCTGGTGCTCAACAACCATGTAACCCCCAGCCCAGCGCAGCTGGAAAGCAGCAGCACAAAGCCATGAAAACCTCCAAAATGACCATTTTCCATCCTGGACTTGAGTAGCAAATTTTCAGCTGGGTAGAAGTAAATAATTCCATTTTCTTTCTCCCCCAACTCTTCTCCTTCTTTCGGGAAGGAACCAAAGGGATCTCAGGGGGGTGTTTATCCTTCAGCGGCCGCAGCCCCTCCGAGGGGCAGGCCCCCGGGGCCCACTCAGCAATG